CGAAAATTAGGGTACCTTATTTTGGGGTCCTTATAATAAGGATCTTATGAATTAGAGTACTATCTTAGGGTCCCCTGATTTCGGAACCCCCCCATGTGGTGCCAGCTGCATATCGGCCATTCCAAAGAGGTTTGGTGTGGCAAGAAAGGACGGACGGTTCGGCGCCTACGGGGAAAAGAGATGCACCATGCCTTGTGATGTTTCAGGGCTTCTTTTGCCTATACTATTATGAGGGACGGACCGTTCGGCGCCGAAGGGATGAATGAATGCACCGTGGCTTTTGATGTTTCAGGGCTTCTTTGGCGGTTTAGTTTAGGGTTTGGAGCCTGGTGCAGTGAAGGCTCGAAACCCGAAAACTTGAACGGGAGTCAGATCTTCAGACTTCAATTTCACGGCTGATGGGCGCTGACAACGAGACGTGATAACGCAGAAGAACATGGCCTGGGCTGCGCACATGCCGGCAGCTGAATCTGAAGAAGGAGATGCTTGCGATGCAGACATCCGACATCATAATGCCACCGGTGAAAACTGATGATACTGGGAGGTGCGACATTTTAGCATGCCTCAATGCACAAGCGCCGACACCCGCTGCAAAGTGTGTATGACTGTCGCGGTTCAGGCACGGTTGAGGTTCATGTTTGGGGCCTGGAGCTCTCGGTGCGAAGCCCGAAGGCCTGATGACCCCTTTAAAGGAAGCCCTAGTAGGGATCCGCTTAGAGGAGTTGTCGGGATCCCTTAAAGGAGAACTTCAGCCTGCAGAGTCCGGGATTCAGTGGGATCATCGGGTGAAGTGCAGCAAAGCTCAGCAGCCAACCGGCATAGCGGAACAAAAGAAACAGCTAGAGCACTGCCAAACGGCTGCAACTTCGAAGCGCAGGTCTCATCATGGCACCACCCCTTCTGCACACGATCTCTATCCAGTGCACACAAAGCGGCAGAACAAGGCAGAATTAACACTCCAACCCGGACCTTCCCCACACCCTGGACACTCTTCCAATACCCCTTAATTAAGGAAGATACCTTAAGTCATAATATTAAGGCCCCTCTAATTTAAGGTATATTCCTTAATTAAGAGGTATTGGGCCCCCACAGCCCCTACCTAAACCCTATACCCTAAACCCTAAACCCTAAACCCTAAACCCTAACCGTGTTCCCCCAGAGCCCTGGTAGCATCCATAGTAGCAATGCTTGGCATGACATCCAGCCATGGCATCCGCCCATGCAGCCTCAGTCACGAACGACCTGAAGGCACGTCGGGTGCCGGGGCTGCTTAGGGTTTAGGGTTTAGGGTTTAGGGTTTAGGGTTTAGGTAGGGTCGAATCTTATTCGGGATACTATCGTTCCCATTGCAGAAGACCGCTGATTAAGAGCCCCCTTGGATTTTCATGGGGATCCTGATGTCGAGGCACTTAAAAGACGGGGCTCCATGAACCAAGCATCCACATGAAGATTCTTCGGTTGTAGAAAACTTGAGTCATCTTGAAGGGCCGTTGACTGACATGCAGGAAACGAGGGAAGTTCCCCGATCCTTGGCAACGGAGACGCCACAAAACCGCAAAGGAGGCCCGCAGCCCCCACCTTGGAGCCTAACACCTCAAAGCCCTGAAGCCCTGTAAGCGAAAGCCACCCCTCGACGCCCCAAACCCTGAAGCCTGAACTGATTCACGGTTTAGGGTTTAGGGTTTAGGGAGACATAGAGGCATAGAGGCCTGCATCGCTAGCCTCGTTGCCCGTGGACCGACCACGCAAGTCCGGATGAAGCCTGAACCCGTACAAGGCTTTTATCGAACCCTAAGCATCTCAGCCCGAGTCCCAAGCCCCAAAGCATCCAAAAAAGACCCTGTCGCCTGGGGAGCAAACTCGAGACCCCAAGCCCTAAACCCTAAACCGTTAGAACCCTGAGCACGCATGGAAGCCTCAAACCTGCAGACTTCTCAACCCCTGTACGCCCCTCAACCCTATAGACCGCTAAACAGACGTTAAACCCCTAAACCCTATAAACTCCCCCCCCACCCCCCAAAAAAAAAAGTGAAAAAACACCAAACGCCCTTGACCCCTAAGCTTTCTAAACCTTCCTGACGACCGCTAACAACTCAAAGCCCTAAACGTGAAAAACCCCGGAAGCCCTAGACCCCTAAACCCTCAACCCTTAAACCCTAAACCCCTAAACCCTAAATCCTAAACCCTGCCGTGGTCGGTTGGGATTTTTAAGGGTTTATCGTATAGGGTTCAGGGTTTAGGATTTAGGGTTTAGGGCTTAAGGGTTTAAGGGTTTAAGGGTTTAGCGTTTAGGGTTTAAGGCTTTAGAGTTTAGGACTTAAGGGTTTACGGTTAAACGGTTTAGGATTTAAGCTACACCCGTCAAGATTCGAGCGTTTTCCGTCGAATTTCTGATTCAGGAGTCAGGACTTGGATGGTGTTTGCTACAGCCTGTAGAGCCTCCACTCCCGGTTTAGGGTTTAGGGTTTAGGCCCACCCAACCCTAAGGTGACAGCATATTCTTTTGCCCGCCTTTTGACGTCACATTAAATGCTCTCTGCACGAATTTGCACTGCACTGTAGGGGGTGTGCACTGTTCGTAACTAGGTTACAGTATTCCCTGAGTGTAGCCCCATATACCCCAAAACCGTATTCTAGGTGATTGTCAAGTCATTGTCCTAAAGCCCTTATAGACCCCTAAAGGAATCCTATTAGGGCCCCATAGCTGAATGCTAAGGCCGCAGCCTGCCGCTAAACACCGAGGAGGCCGTACTGCGCCTGCGCGAGGCGCAAGCGCAAGCCAGGAAGGACCTAAACCCTAAAACCCTAAACCCCTAAACCCCTGAACCCTAAACCCCTAAACCCCTAAAAAAGACTCTGGGGGTTACGGTCAGGGTTTAGGCGTTTGGGGTTTGTAGCGCTTGGGGTTGAGGGTTTAGGATCTCAGACTTAAGGATGGATACTACTACTACTACTACTACTACTACTACTACTACTGCTGTATCTGATAGTGCGACAAATACTGCTACTCGTACTACCACGATTATTTCTGCTCTTATTCATCCTTCTACCAGTTCTACTACGTTTCTACAATCGACGTTTCTACAATCGACGGACGCACGAGGTACTGTTTCCGACGCCCAAATAGCTCTGCAACCCTAAACGAACAGAGCAAACCACCGAAACGCCCAAAGACGGTGAAGAATCGTTACAGACAAGACAAAACGACTAAAAGAACAAGGAGAATCCCTTTAACAGCAAAAGACCTACAGGAAAGGTTACACAACAGCTTATGCACAGCAAAAATAAAGAGAAGACCAACGAGCAAAGCAGCAACTGCTAACTGCCAAATGCCCGCCCTAAACCCCTAAACCTCTAAACGCTAAACCCTAAGTCTTGCCGGTCTTGTGCGAGTGTGAGAGTCGAAACCCTAAATCTTATAGGCCCTAAACCCAAAAGGCCCACGAGATCCTTGGCCGCTGTTCGGCAACCGGCGCCCTCCGAGCCTCTGAGAACTTCGGGGCCGAATTCGGCGCCGAGGCGAGGCGGAGAGATCCTTGGACGCCTCTTGTAGGGGTTAGGAGATTAGGGTTTAGGGTTTAGGAGGTTTGGGTTTAGGGTTTTAGGAGGTTAGGGTTTAGGGGTTAGGAGATTAGGGTTTAGGAGATTATGGTTTAGGGTTTAGGAGATTAGGGTTTAGGGTTTTAGGAGATTAGGGTTTACAACTGGCTTTTTAGGGTGTGGTTGAGGAGTTTAGGAGATAAGGGTTTGTAGTTTCGGAGATTAGGGCTAGGGTTTAGCAGATTAGGGATGCCTCTTGTTGGGTTTGTACTGTCAAGAAGCCATCCTTGGAGGCTCAGGCTTGCCGTCACACCGGGCTTGGGGTGTCAGCTTGGGTCTTTAGAAAGCGGCTTGAGGCTGCGAACTTGTGAAGGCAAGGTATAGTTTAAGGTTTAGGGTTTAGGGTCCAGGGTTAAGGGCTTTAGGGTTTAAGCTTTGGGATCTACAGATCAATTTCCTCAGATTTGTTTGGGCCCTGGGGTGATTGTTTGTGCATCCGTTGCTGGGGGTTTTGGGCTCGTTGATGTTCGTGGTTTCCATGGGTAAAGGATCTGTTGTCACAGGGCTTTGTGGGACTAATTCGACACGGGTTGCCATGCTTACTGAGTGCTTGGTACATCCTGGCTAGTCTGGTAAATCGGAGTTTCTGAAAAGAAGGGGTACCTTATGGTACCTTATTTTGGGGTCATTATTATAAGGACCCTACTATTTCGGGTACTATATTAGGGTCTGCTATTTTCGGAAACCCCCAAATAGGGTTCTACGGCACGCATGGCTGGCAAGGGGTCCAGGCTGAAATCGCTCCATGAATCATCTCCGCGGTATCCTTCCCTATTCCTTCACTGCCCTCGTTTAGCCCTACATAAACCCTAAACAGTAAACCCCAAAACAGTAAACTCCTCAACCCTCAATGGTAAACCCCGAAACATGAAAACCTTAAACCCTAAACAGTACGCCCCAAAACATCAAAACCCTAAACCCTAAATGGTAAAATCCAAAACATTAAAACCCTAAACCCTAAATGGTAGACCCTAAACCCTAAACACTCAGAAGCCTCAGGCCTCTCCTGCCCTAAGCCCTAAGTCCCCGAGCCTTAAAGCTCAGGACCAGCAGGAGGAAGAGGCTGCAGCCCAGGAAGAGCAGCGCCGGGAGGAGGTGCAACAAATTCGGCTCTAGGGTCCTCTTGAGGTTTAGGGTTTCGGGTTCAGGCTTAGGGCTTATAGGGTTTAGGGTTTAGGGTTCAGGCTTAGGGCTTACAGGGTTTAGGGTTTAGGGGTTTTAGGGTTCAGAGGGGTTGAGGGTTTAGGTTTAGGTGTTCCGGCGCTGGGCTTGAAGTTTTATAGGTTTTGGGGTAAGTAGGAGTTTTATAATGGTTCATGGTTAAGGCATGAACCATACTCTCAACTCTTCCAGCCTTATTCTCTTGAAACCGCGTGGAAAACAGGTTCGACGATGCCAAGATGCCCAGACTAGGCAAGCTGCTGCTGCCTTGAGGGACCAGAAGATCGATATCCTACCCGTCTACCGTTCCATCTTCGTCGGTTTCGGGATCCCGTTAGCCCTCCTGATTTTCACCGCAGCTTTCCCGCCGTAAGGTGATGTAGCTGCTGCTTTGCTGAGCACCTTCGCTTTGCTGCTCGGTGGCCTCCTCAGCATATGTACCTTCCTTTACGGAACAGGGGATCGTGTCGACCGTTTCCGCTATGGCAAGCACTCCAACTGCCTCGTAAGAGTTGCATTCTTGTTTTTTGTCCTCGGCGTCGTGGCGCTGGCGGCTTTGACAACGCACCACAGCTTGGCTGGGTTTTGGTGGACCGCACTCATTGTTTGGCCCCTGACCTGCTGTTGCAACACCTGCTGGATACCAGGTGGCGGTTTCGGAGCTTTGCTGATTTCCTTTTTGTTTGTATAGCGGTATCTATACAGATTTTTTTTGCTGCACGTAGACTGTGATCGAGGATCTACGGTGCCAAAGTGGAGGCGGAAGAGGGTTGCTACTTGACCACCGAGGAGCGAGAGATGCAAGACAAGGAGCAGCAACAAGCACGCCAGGAGGTCCTTCAGCGCACCATTGTCTTTGAAGGCTCCGTGCTGGAATGGGTGGGGCGCCCATGCGTGTGTTACTGGGACGATTTAGGCATTAGCGTTTCGGGTTTAGGGTTATTATACCTGAACGAGCACGATTTTTCGCTCGTTTATATCGGGGGCTGCAAGTCTACCTAGTTGCGAAGTCACGCGATCAACAATCACATGCCTTCCCGCACTTTTGCCAGCAGTGCTGGATGGCCTCTGGAAAACCTATGAAAATCTTGGCTATGTCCCGAGATAGGGATCCGTTTTTCACAACCTGACGTAGTAAGACTAGCATGTTATATGGAACCAGCGGGAACTTTATTTGTAGACATTTTCGCATAATCTGAATACATGAATTCTACGACAATCAAGCCTTAAACCCGGAACTCACATTCCTAGAGAGTTCGTCGGACCAGGAACATAACAGCATTGATGCTGCAAGCACCAAGCACGAGCAAGACGGACAGTAGCAATAGCACCAACAGTACTGCCGTGTTCTATCAGTCACATCGCAAACAGTAAGGCCAATCGCAGCAAGAGTAAATCTGGTGCTCAGACACGGCAGGAGTATTGTTGTCACGATAACTGCGCAATGGTGACATTTCCCCTGGAATCCTAGAGTGTTAACGGCAGAACATACTGGCAGGTGCTGCTATGTATTGTCAGTTATTGTCATGTACGAACGGGTCCCCATACTGCTCACATACTTCTAAGCACCAGTATCCACTATTTAGATACGACCAGACACGACTTTGTACTGTGATCTGATATTGTTTTCTTTGGTGTACTAACGCAGACGATTTTAAACTTGTATATGTTGTATATGCCAAACCCATATGCTGAACCGTAGACCGCGAACCCTGGAAACACAACCCGAAACCCTGACCCCGAAAAAACAAGGTTCATGGCCTGGAAAGTATGAGGGCGCGTGGGATTCTCTCGTCTCCTCCAGCCGGAATGGGGATGTCAGCGCGGCTGTCGTGTTGCTTCACGATTTGGGAAGGTAAAAAACGTGGTTTGGGGTTTAGGGCTTCAGGTTTTGTCACGTTCCCCGGCCGACTTTCCAAGCCCGGACGCAAAAGGGCTTCAGGTTTGTAGGTCGAGCATTAACATAGTAATTATGCTGCCGTATGTATAATGCACATCAGTTATTTGGTCATAGCATATTGATGTATGTATCAAGACGACTTTGTTCAACATCCACCGGCAACGAAGCCCCGAATGATAATAGAAATGATAATCGATAATGAAGAATGCTTGTTCAAGGGTTTACAAATTACAATCTGTGCATGCTGAAGAACCTTATACTACTATGTAGTCATGATTAGTCACGTATACTGGTATGCATGATTTATATTTTATGGCATGTTGAAATTATCTAGGAAGGCAGCTTGACGTTTGTTGGGAGTGGCATTGAAGCTAGAACTCACGCATGGTTGCATCCAGGCCTCCATACGAAATCTCATGCTGAATCTCCGGGCGAAAATGTTGGCAGGGTGGTTTCATTGGGGTGTATTTCTGCGTGGTTTACACCTCATACTGCAGCGCATCATAGTACATTCTGGCATGCATCCTAGTCTCTGTCGTGGTCTATGACACAGAGAAATCAATCATTGGAAAACTACTGTGGGAGCTTTAGGACATGCAAAGAAACACAAGACCCGAATATGTAGCGGATCCTAAGCAATACGGTCTTCAAACTCCTCAAACAGGCTCCCTGAGCTTTTGGATTGGATCCCATGTGTCCTTGAGGTTCTTGCCGGATGGTACCGCGGATTTCGGACATCACGCAGAGATACCCGATGCCGAAGGCATCGTTGGAGAGTGCTGGTGCGTGCCGCTCTACGGCGAACAGAAGCCCTGGGGTTGCCGCTGGTGGAGCCACTGGATTGCGAACATCGAGGACGGAGTTCCAACAAAAAGGAGTTTACGATTTAGGGTTTGCATGTGCGCTTTCCAAAAAAGTAGATCATTGATAAGGGCCATACCTTATACATCATGGGGCATATCCAACTATTTCTGAGGGTTGCGGCTATGGGCCGACCCCAAAGCCCAGGAGGCCGTGAAAAAGAATGCCGAGCTGGAGGTCTACTACTTCGTGGATCACGTAGGCAGAGGTAAGGCACAGAGCTTTTCCACCGCCGGAGAGGACTGCGTGCTGGTTGGAGAACTTCTCGGTTTTGCTTAAATAGGTTCTTTGGGGATTTAGTAAACCATACGGATCCCTTACTTTGATAAGTTACTAGTTGGGCGTCCCCTTCTGTATTAGTCAACGTTCCCCATCAAGAAGGATGTTTCAGGTTTGATGTAGGGGCCTTGATAATTACGACGGGTTCCTTATTATACGTATAGTATGATATACCCCAAAACCCTGTTCTAATTATTAAGGCCCCTACATTACAGGAGTACGTTCGCAGGGAGACGCTGAACAGGCGCTTGGACGGGTTCAAAGAGACCCAGCAGTTCAAGGAAGCTTGAATCATGCTTAGGGTTTAGGGTTGCAGGGTTTAGGGTTTATAAGGTTTAGGGTTTAGGGTTTAGGTTTGGGGTTTAGGGTTTAGGGCTTAGGGTTTAGGGTTCAGGTTTAGGGTTTAGGGTTCAGGTTTCAGGTTTAGGGCTTATAGGGTTTAGGGTAGAAGGCTATTCCTTCTGTTGTCTGAGTATAAATATACGACGACATCTGCTAACAACACCTTAAGATCCAGATACCCTTAAATCCCTATAGAACGCTCAAGGGAGAGGAACCTTTTGAAGGAATCACCCCGAAAAGCAGCCATATTGAAGTAATTAAGGCTTCTGCTCGAAACTTTATAAGACCTAAACCCTCAAACCTAAACCCTAAGCCCTCAAACCCCAAAACGTCCCCAAAACCTCTATCCTCAAGTAAAGGAAGCCTCAACCTAAACCCTCTATCCTCAAGTTTAGGACTAAGGAAGCCAACCATCCCTAAACCTTGAAACCTAAACCCCTAAACCCGAAACCCAAACATCCCTAAACCCTCCATCCTCAAGTTGAGAACCCTCTATCCCCCAGTTAATGAAGCCTAAACCCCAAACCCTAAACCCACTATCCTCCAGTTAAGGAAGCAATGGATGGACCCTAAACCCTAAACACTAAACCCACTATCCTCCAGTTAAGGACGCCATGGATGGACCCTAAACCCTAAACCCTAAACCCTAAACCCTCCATCCTCCAGTTGAGGAAGCCATGGATGGAGGTCCCGGGGGCTTAACAAAGTACCCTACATAGTAGGATCCTTAGCATAAGGCCCCCCAAAATAAGGCACCCCTTCTTTTCGGAAACTCCCAGGTCTGGGGGGCCCTAAACCCTAAACCCTAAACCCTAAATCCTAAACCCTGAAACCCTAAACCCTAAACCCTAAACCCTAAACCCTGAACCCTGAAACCCTAAGCCATGGATGGAGGCCTCGGGGGCTCCACGAAGTGCCGGGGGGACGGCTCTTCCGCCTACAGCCGCGAGCTCCATCGGCTCCTTGGGTTCGTATTTCTGGGGAAAAAATCTGAGTTTCAACAGGGTTTAGGGTGTAGGATTTAGGGTTTAGGGTTGAGGGTTGAGGGTTTAGGGATGTTTCAGCTTTTAGGGTTTAGGGTTTTTTCGGGTTTAGGGTTGAGGGCATTTTTCGGGTTTAGGGTTCAGGGGATGTTTTAGGGTTTAGGGGATTGGGTTTAGGGTTTAGGGAACCTTAGAATTCAAGGCTTAGGGGTTTTGCGGTTTGGGTTCTTAAGAGTTAGAGTTGAATATTTCAGGGGGTCGGGTTCCCTGGTTTAGGGTGCTTGCTAAAGAGCTTGATTTAGGTACCAGATCAAAGAACCTACCTTCCTTCGTAGAATAACTGAAACTCAGTTCCATAGACAGGAGTACGTTCCTAGGCCCGAAATACTAGACCCTAAACCCTAAACCCTTTAAAGCCCCAGAAGCCCAAACTCCAGCCCCAAGCCCTATATAAAGCCTAAACCTTCACCATAAGCCCTAAACCCTGTAAGCCCCCCTACATCGTAAACCCAAAAGCGAAACCCCTAAACCCTAAACCTCCCTCAACCGTCAAACCAACCTCCAAGAGAACCCGAGGCTTTTTCTCGCCTGGCTGCCAGAAGAAGACCGGGAATTTCTGGAAGCTGCTGAAGGTTTGGGGAACTCCCAAAAGGCCGAGGTGGGGTGTGCTGAACCTGAGCGGCTTAACGGCTTATTTAGGGTTGGATCTTGTAAGGGCCCCCTGAAAGTTGTGTGGGTTTGGGGTTTAGGGGTTAGGTTTAGGGTAGTACTTAGTTCTTTGTTGACTGGGGGAATCTTGTTTAGGGGTCCATCAACCAAGAGTTTTACCGTCTGGGCTGCTTTTTTTGCGGCGCACGTTCTGAAACTCCCAGGTGGCGTGGCTTGAGCGCAAGGGCTACCGTTACACAGAAAGAGACGTCTCGCCATGGTTGTCCAAGAATGAATCGAAGATTCCTGTCGAAGAGGTGGTGCCAGCACCTACACTGCAAGGCCAACAGCCGCGGGCTGCAGGTGATGTAAACCTTCCTGGAACAGTGGCGTTGGAACCTGGTGCGTGAGTTGGGCAGACTCCCGACCTGAAACGCGAGCTTGTGAGAAATAAGAACCGAGTTTCACCATAGTATTCATTCACCTGTAGTATATACATATATATATATATATATATGCGTATTCATATATATATATATACACATAGAGATATATAGATGTGTTCATATTTATGTGCGTATAACTCGCAGGCCGTTCTAAGACAGTAGCTTCTCAGTGAGTTGCAGTGAGAGTGCACGGGGCTTGTCGGTAAAACATGCGGCTTTCGCTGGACATGATTTGTGGCTTCCTTTCCGTACAAGTTACAGGCAGCTGCACATCCCGATACCAACAGGTTGCAACTGAGAGGCTTCATTCAAGTATTCAGCTTTACCCTGGCTGGGTTTCCATGAGACCTTTCGACGGATGGACAACCCTAAACCCTGAACCCTATGCATTGCCCGATTTGCGAGAGTCCAAACCCGGAACCATAAACCTTAACCGTTCAGACGCCCATCAAACATTTGAACAGCGCCAAAGAAAGTGCCTGCCCGGGTTTCGTCTCCGAGTGATCGCGAGGCAGCGATGAGGCCATCCGATATTGCTTCCAGGGATACAGTGTAAGGATTCAGGGTGTAGGGAGTGTAGGGTTTAGAGTTTTATAAAGTTCTTAGAATTTTATAAAGATCTTGACTAATGTATACAAGGACTTTGGATTGAGGGTAAAGGGGTTCAACTGACGACCGTCCTTGAAGCGGCTACTACACTTCCTTTCTTGAATTCCGAGCTTTGCTGCACCTGTCTCTGTAACCCTAAACCCTAAGCCCTAAACCCTAAACCCTAAACCCTAAACCCTAAACCTTAAACCCTAAACCTTATCCGTAGCAGGCCTCTTCGTCAGGGGACCTCCTAGGATCTCTCGCGGCAGTAGGGGTCTTCTCAGGTCGTATGCCACTGCACGGGTCCGGCCTTTGTCTTTTGGGTAGGGTTTAGGGTTTATGGTTTAGGGTTTAGGGTTTATGGTTTAGGGTTTAGGGTTGGGTAGGGGTCTCTTAAAGTTAAAGGGGAGAAGCAAAAAACTGAAAACAGAGATACCTCCAAAACGAACGCTATGATTATGATGGCTACCGGTGTAGAATGAAGGGGCCGACATATCAAGCACCTGAGACTCCCCAGTTCCACATCTAGGTGTTCAGTGTTGTGAGGGAAGATTGACATAAGGCGTAAATGGTAGTGATGAAGCAGGGGGCACAATCTGGGTCCAAAAACCCTGCTACAGGCCCATTTCTCCCTTGTCATCATTGCTTTTCATCTTGAGCCCGGTCCTTTATGGTCCTGAAGCTCAGCCGAAGCCCCCGAAGGGTCTTCCTCGAGAAACTCCACGTTCGGAATTTTACTCCGAAAGCCAGGGTCCCGGCTCCTGCGGCTCCTGTGGAAAAGCCCGCCACGAGCTCCAGTGATGTTCGAAGCTCCGCGGTTAGCTGCCTCAAACAGCCCTCTGGCCTACCTACGATGAGGCCCACAGCAAAATCCAAAGGGCAGTCCATGGCGACATCTTTCGTCAAAAATGTTGAGTTCTTCGTAGGGTTACATGTTTTAAAGGGAGGTTGAGGTGACTTGCCCTGGATTGTGTTCTGAAGCGTCGAAGACTAGGACAAGGTGCCTCTGCTCATCCCATGGCTGAGCGGCTCCCTAACAGAAGTCCAAGTCTTAATTCCACGAGCTTTCACTTTTGATGTGGAAATGCCCTCAAACAAGCAGACCACAAATGTCAAGACCCACAGCCCCTCTTGGTGGGTGAGCAGTACCTTTTATGGGATGGCCTAGTATACTTGAAAAGGAGCACCGTTTTGTCCTCGCTAGGGTGCATTACAAGACGGGCAAAACGCTTACAGGGCTTGCCCATACAAAAATGACTGCCAGGTGGGAAGACGAGAAAGTCAGGCTGACATATCGCCTCCGGTGCCCAAAAACTGGGCCTAAGAGTTGGAAGCGGGCGCTTTCTCTGGGATTCCAACTTTCACTTTCTAGCTGCAAGGCCTTGTTGCGAGATTGTGCTTTTCTAGCTTCGGCAGCAGCAGCTAATCTCGGCCTGGACTTCTTGCACTTGTTGCAATGGCATGGGGCCGGACAAAGTCGTATGGCACCAGCTTCAACTGGTACGTGTCGTTGGCATACAAGTCTTGGCTCAGCATGGCCTACCATGCCTCGCCTTCTCGTATTTACAGAATGGTTAATTTTGTTATAACCATGCATCACATGGACATGCCCAAAACAAACAGGACTGCGACAAATGCTTTGCAAGCAGAGTCTCGGACAAATTACCAACATGTGAACATGGGCTTTAGGATTGTGCAACAATTCTTGTTGTTCGTTTTCTGGGTGTTCTGCTGCACAGAGAAGGTTGCTTGACCTCTGCAGAAAGCCGGAACTGCCAACTTTCCCTTTCGGAGCATAGTGTTGTTTCGAAAGTTGTAGAGTTCGTGTCTGCCCTTCTGCAAAATTTACTAATCGTGCACGTGGCTCTTACAGGGCTTTTGGCCACACTCTTCCCTTGTCGAGTTTCTTCATTACGTTTTCCAAGACTCTGTTTGCATTTGTACAGCCGCTTTTTAGGCCTGTATTGCAAAAAGTGGCTTTGGGTCGAAACTAGGAGTCTGCATATCAAAGCATATCAGAGCTACCCTAAACCCTAAACCCTGAACCAAAAACTCGAAAACCGTCACATCAGAGCTTCCTTTCTGCGCCTCTGAGGGTTGCTTGCGCCAAGAAGTTGCAGTGCGCCGGATGCTGTTCGGTGGCGGCCGGCCTGATAACATGTCTGCTGTTGATCGTCTTTTTTTACATCCAGATGTCATCGCCAGGTGAGGTCATCATAGATGGCAAATCGAACTTTACCCTCAGGGCCATTGAGCCTCGCTTTGGCTTCACTTTCCTGCGTGAGTGGGGCTGGTCCGGACTAATGCGAGGCCGCGAAATCACCAACATCCCATACGAGCAATCGAAAGGGCCTAAAACACGGGCCACAGCAAGGACTGCTTTCTCACTGTTGTGCATGGGCTCCTCTTGGAGGTACCGTGCTTCACAGCCCATGGCGCAACCCCCAAGCCTACATGCACTCGCGGGCCGAAGGTGTCACTCTTTGGTGACAGTTGCAGCAAAAGCCTATCCACAGAAGAATGGTCCCGAAAGCGCACATTGACATACCAACAGGAACCTTGGCACTGGATGTCTGCAAAGCAGTGTCGGACTCACGTCTGAACCTACTGTCTGCTCTCCTCTGCAGGCAAGACTCAAAAACAATCAAGGGTGCTTGAGGGGGACTCCTGCTCCAGTAATCGTACCTGTCGACGACCTTGGAATCCGCATTGCAACAAAGATTCTTCATCATCATGTCTTGTGAAGGAGTCAGTCCAGACAAGTCCCACACCCATGTCGCCTGGCCAGAGGTCACCGTGTAAGTACCAAACTCCTTCGCGGCTTCAGGCAGAAATTCGGTCTGGCAACGCGCAACGGAAAACAATCTTTTGAAGCTGAAAACAAAACTAGATTTGCCAAACTCGAAACAAAGATGCTCCACCCATTTCGATGTGACCGGTTAGCTCCAACTGTGGCACGGAAATGCGCCACGCCCGGCACTCAAAATGGACATCGTCTCCACTTGGTGAGGTGATGTGCAAGGTGCGGCAATGCTCAGTGCCGTTGGTGCTGTACTTGCAGTTCTTGAGACCAACGATCGCTTGTGTGTTCATGCATAGAGGCGGGTTCTGTACAACGTGGTATTTTTGGGTTCTTTTGGTATTTTTGGTTCTCTTGATTTTTTGATTCTTTTCCATATTTTTTAGAGTCAGTTTATTGGTTTTCTTTCTGTGAGTATTCAGGATTTGGTTGCAAGCCCCGAAAACTCCCAAAATGCGCACGCCCAAGATTCCTCATTTTATTTCCTTTATATTATCGTATTTTTATCAGATCCTAGATTAAAGAATTATCTCCTATCTAATATTCTTCATAATACTAGTCTAGTTTCGACGACATAAATAGATTAGATTCTTCATTTAATGAATTAAGATATTAGCTTTCTATTCTTTCTTATTGAAAATATAGATTTTATATCTTCGATAATCTAGATAAAACCTTTCTTTTTCATGATATTATCTTTGCTAAAAACTCATGGCATTAAGAGGCCAATCATCTATTATTGAAATAATTAATTTTATCTATATATTTATCTATCACTAAACCCTAAAGAGATATTCTATTTATTCTTCTTTTCTCAAAGCTTGGGATTTATTGAATTATCTAGGAATTTATTTTTCTTTTCGAATTTTCGATATATCGATAATAATTATATATATGACTTTACAATAGTCTATATTTTAGACCTATTTTAAATATTTATTTTTATTCTTATTTATTTATCTTCTTATATTTCTATATATATAAATATAATTTTTGCATATGAATATAAATATATAAGATTTTTTTTTAATGAATTATTTTCATTTGATATATTCATATTATATATATATATTGAAAATTTATTATTTCGATTATTATTTAAGATCTGCTTTTCTTAATAATAAATAAGAAAGTCTCTTTTCTATAATTTTTTTTTTAATAGAATATAGTTTTATTCTTATTCTAATTCTTGCTCTCATATTGGGTCCCGCTCTTATTTCTATTATGCCTCTTATCTTTATTCTTATCGTTATTATTATTCTCGGTATTGATTTTATTCTTCTTTTTATTTCCATTCTTGTGTCTGATTTAGTCTTATTATTAGATAATAATATTTTCGTAAAAGCTATATTCAAATAATATATATATATCTCCATAAGATACTTGCTATATATATAATATATCTTGATCTATCTTATCTCGAGAAGAAGCTTAAATTTGAAAAAGATATAAATATAGTGAATTCTATATTTTTCTTCTATTTTTCGATTATGAAATATTGAATTATTATATTTGAAAATTATATATAATTAATA